AAATCAGCACTATTTGATATCCATTTCTGAAGTCTGAAGCCGCCTCTCTTAAGAATAGTTTTTAATTGTTCACATACTTGTATGGCTTGTTGAACAGTATCACACCCGGACATTAAATCGTCTACATAAAAGTCCTCGCGTATTACTCTCGCTGCATTTGGATAGTCTTTGGCTTCATCATCTGCAATTTGCAATAAGGTTTTGACAGCTAGATATGGTGCTGATGCTGTACCAAATGTAACTGTCAACACCTTGAAGTCCTCTATTTCGTTAGATTTTGATGAATTATCTCTCCACAAAATTCTTTAAAAGTCTGTATGTTCCTTTTTTAACAATATCATCCTATAAATTTTTTCAACATCACTAACGAAACAAATTTTGTGCATCCGTCATCTCATAATGATACTTCTTAAATCTTCCTGTAAAACGGGTCCTACTAAAAGCTCATCGTTAAGAGATATTCCTTGAGAATGTTTAAATAAACTGCGCACTTGGTTATTTCTTGTTTAGGAATCCTTTCCATGTGCCCCATTGTAAGATATTCTTTCATTACCTCCTGATATTTCACTTTAAGACGTGGTATTTTATCTAATTTTTGTTCTAGCTGTAAAAATCTTTTCATTGAAATTTCTCTGCTGTTTCCTTTATGTGACTTCGGGTTATCTACTTTAAATGGTAATTGAACTATGTACCTTCCTTCACTATTTCTCGAATAGGTATTCTTAAATATTTCTTCACATTTCTCTTCATCCTTCGTATATCTTCTTTTAGGAGTCGGGCTACTTCCCATAATATTTTCAACATATCATCTACTTCGGTTACTTGGTGCATTACTATCATTGTTTGTTCTTGTTGTTGTAAATTGTCGTTCACGCTCCCGAAAACAATCCAACCCAGTGCAGTATTTTGCGCACAAGGCGTTCCAGGTGGACCTTTAATGAATTCACTCTGCAAGATTTGTGCATATTCATTTACTCCTAACAACAAATCAATAGATCCTGTTGTGTGGAAATTTGGATCTGCTAAACTAAGTCCTTGGAGATGAGGCTTGTGATGTCATCATTGTATTGATTTGAAGTGCTTCTGTTTCTTCAACATTTAAATGTAAAACCTTCGGTTGTGTTTCTTTTTGCTTTTCACCTTGTGGAGTCGTAGACCATGAATGATGAAGAAGAGAGTGATGACGTCTGTGACATATCCTGGATGTGCTGGATGAACGACAAGCTTTGACTGGGTGACCAGGAATTAGACAGCTAAAACATATGTTTTTTGTCCTTACTAATTCACTTCTCATTGTTGGTTCCATTTTACCAAAATTCTTAAAGTGCCATAGCGCATGATTCCCGTTACACAATGGACAAACCCTCGTCGTAGTTGCAACTTGATATGAGCGCACTGTAGCTCTATCCTTTGTTGATCCTGGCGATAACAACTCAAGTGTTCGAAATTTCATTTCCATAAATTTTGTTAATGTCATCAAGGTGGGCAACTCATCGTCCATTTCTTTGCTTACAAATTCTTCCCATTCTTTATGTGATTCCAAATCTAATTTAGTTACGACCAGATAAATCACCATTGTATCCCAATGTTCGGTAATAACGTTTAGATTTTTCAAGCTGTTAAGACATTCGGTCGTAGTGTCGAGTAAAGACTTGCGGACTGACTTTGCAATTTTTTTTGGTTAAAAATCCGTTTTAGAATAGAGGTCACTATGAGCCGTTTATTGCTTTAACGCTTTTTTAATATATCCCACGCTTGGGCATAATTAGTTTCGGTTACCTAAATATGTTTCAATAAACTTTCGGCATCGCCCGTAACACTAGACTTCAAGTAATGTAGTTTTTGAATACAACTAAGTTTTTCATTTTTATCAACAAGCGTTAAAAATAAATCTTGAAACGTCGGCCAATCTTCGTAACTGCCAGAAAATAATGGTAATTGTATTCTGGGCAACTTGACTTGGGGACACGCTGTCATCACGCTGCAACATCTTATTTTCACCAACGCCGGTTGATTGTGTAACCGTAGAATGTAATGAATCTAATAAGTCCTTCATATCCGCTTTTATTTGCATATAACTTTCTTCACACGAATAATACACGTCTTTATTAAAATATTCCAAGCGATTTCGTTGTTCCTTAGGCACAGATTTTAATAAATTTATATGTGCAGTCTTAAACGAGTTCCAATAGTCATCAAGGCAGTTAATTTTTGTTTCTAAATAGCTCAGACGAAATAAAAACTCAAGACAGAGCGCTGTCAACAATAAAGTGAGGTCGGTTTGGTAAACATGTGTGCACTAAGTGAGTGTTGCCGTGCAGTAAAAACTTATTACCCTAATATATTATTATCTAAGTACTCAGGATGAATGGATAAGTAAAAAGATAAATTGACAATTTTTTAATTTTATACCTCACTTTAAGTAGTATGTAAGTATGTTTATTTCGACTAAGTAGGGGAAAAATAAAACAATAGTAATATGAAAGAAACATTGTTTTTATTTTAATAGCCTTTTTGTTGGGTCAATATTTTGAAATATTGCCGTTTACCGTCCACCGTTTTGGAAATTGTTTCCAATTTAGAAATATGGTAGAAACGAATTGATAAATATTTTTCAATTATGCATCTTATTAAGCTTATTTTATGCTCTTGGCCAGCATAATTGTGCTCAGTTTGCAATTTAGAGAAAACGTTGTCAGTATCAATAAATTGTTTTAAAATATTAATAACAACTGATTTGTGTTGGTTTTCAGTAACTATCACTATGCTTTCACTACATAATTTACGCATAATAGTTTCACAAATTATGTAAATTTCAAAAAGGTCTTTCGATGGAAATATTAAGCCACCTTTATCTTTTGAAGATATCAGTTTATGGAAGTCAAATATCTTATATAATATCATAAACGACATTTGTTAATTTATTATTGTATAATACTAAATATAGTATTATAGAATCATTGGAAATAACGTTTTGATATCCGTTTCGTACCACACAACGAAGTCATTTATTTGTATAATAAAAATCGTCATCTTCAAAATGTGTCGAACCAACTACACTGCGCACCGTTGGATTTCACGATGGCTCATTCCGGCTAACTCGAATCACTTTTATCCACTTCCCTTTAATGTCTTTATTTCGGATGGGGAACCTTAAAAATGTAGATTTTTGAAGTGATGATAAAACGAGGAAAATAAAAAAAAATAATGCCTATTTACACTTACATTAATTTTATGAATATTAAAAGTAAAATAGAAAAAGGTAAATTAACGTGTTACGTTAAGTTTCCCGTCACATTAATAACTTACTGAATAAATGGGGACTACTGTGACGCTTACTAGTGGCAACACTTGTGGAGGTTTTATGTTCCAAACTGTCGTAATGAATAATAAAAATGATTTGTTAAAAAATTAAGATTTTTATGTTTAATTACGCATCAAATGTGATTCCATCCTGTTTTTTATTTCTGGAACATTGGTTTTTACACCCTTTTACAACACAATTAGGCATTTTTTATTTAATAACTGCGAATTATTATAGCGTGACACTCCGTGCGCTGGAATAGCTCGAATGACAAGGTAAGGCGTAGTTTCGTTATATGTGTGTGCGTGAAACTGTGTATGTACAAGGCGAGGCGTAGTTTTGACCGGCCTCAGTGCGTTGTTCGACGGGGCTCTGTCTTGAGTTTTTATTTCGTCTGAGCTAAATAGCCCTTAGTTAGACATGCCTTTGGACATTTTTTAAAGTTATCGTGGATTATAGCGTGACACTCCGTGCGCTGGAAATAGCTCGAATGACAAGGTAAGGCGTAGTTTCGTTATATGTGTGTGCGTGAAACTGTGTATGTACAAGGCGAGAGTAGTTATGGTAGTTTTGACAGGCCTCATGCGTAGTTTTGACCGGCCTCAGTGCGTTGTTCGACGGGGCCCTGTCTTGAGTTTTTATTTCGTCTGAGCTAAATAGCCCTTAGTTAGACATGCCTTTGGACATTTTTTAAAGTTATCGTGGATTTTAACAATACAACAGTGCAAATCTTCAAGTTCACTTAAAGTTTGGTCCGTGGTTTCCATGTTAAATATTGAACAATACGACGGTTATTGACTTTATTTGTACACTAATAACTTTAATGCAACTTGTTTTGTATTAGCACGGTAATATTATAGATAAAATTATCGTGGTATTAGCGTTCAGGCTCTTTTGTTCTCCGACTCGACGTTATCAGTCGCCTATTCAATAAAAATCCGGCTCGATGCAGGCCACTATGTGCTTTAACTTGTTACGTACGGGTCAAACTTGCTTATATGTCACTTTAGCGAAGTAAACAACGTATTCACTGTCTAATGGTTTATTGCAGACTGTTTTTACAAATATAATGCAGTGTGATTTAACTTTACGCGTACAATATAACAGACATTATAAAAAAATCGTGGCTATTTAGATATTATTTTTAAACGTGATTGTGTTTACAACATAAAAACAAACCAATCTAACTATAGTTTGTTTTGGGATGAAAAATAGTCAAGTCCAGCTCCTATAGAAATTTGGCCATCCTCCTTTTGTAACCGAGCGACTCTTACGAATGTGTGCGTGCGTAGTAAAATAATAGGCGTTAGATATTTATAAATAACAATCAGTTAAAATAATGCATCACTACGCGTTCTGAATTTAAAATATAAAAATGACACAATGTTTGAGGTTTTTTAACAAATTTTTCTTCACCATTCGCCTGTATTACTTATTCAGAACCTTCTCTACAAATTTGACCGTATACTGCAAAATAACCCTTTACATACAGAGTTATTTTTCAAAGAGTAACCAAATTTTAAACTTAACTTCAAATTATATAAATAAGTATAGATATACCGCTATTGCAGATTTTGAAAATATAAGTAAATAAAGCTTCTACTTTTATTTGAAACTTTCCGAAATTCAATGTGATTTAATAGCATCGTTTTCGCCTACTGTTCGACCCTTACGAATGGTTGCGCGCGCAGTAAAATCAGTTAAAATAATGCACGAGGGTGGCAGCATGGCGGCTGCGCACGCGCACCTCGCCGTGTGAGCGCGTGTGTGCGTACGTACGGGCGCGGCGGCGGGCAGCAGCAGCAGGTGCGCGGCGAGGCGGCCGGGCAGCGCGCGCAGGCGCAGCGGCACGCGGGTGGCGGCGTGCCGGCTGCGCACGCGCACCTCGCCGTGTGAGTGCGTGTGTTCGTACGTACGGGCGCGGCGGCGGGCAGCAGCAGCGGGTGCGCGGCGAGGCGGCCGGGCAGCGCGCGCAGGCGCAGCGGCACGCGGGTGGCGGCGTGCCGGCTGCGCACGCGCACCTCGCCGTGTGAGTGCGTGTGTTCGTACGTACGGGCGCGGCGGCGGGCAGCAGCAGCGGGTGCGCGGCGAGGCGGCCGGGCAGCGCGCGCAGGCGCAGCGGCACGCGGGTGGCGGCGTGCCGGCTGCGCACGCGCACCTCGCCGTGTGAGTGCGTGTGTGCGTACGTACGGGCGCGGCGGCGGGCAGCAGCAGCGGGTGCGCGGCAAGGCGGCCGGGCAGCGCGCGCAGGCGCAGCGGCACGCGGGTGGCGGCGTGCCGGCTGCGCACGCGCACCTCGCCGTGTGTGTGCGAGTGTGTTCGTCGTCGGCGGCGGGCGGCGGGCAGCAGCGGGTGCGCGGCGAGGCGGCCGGGCAGCGCGCGCGGCAGGCGCAGCGGCACGCGGGTGGCGGCGTGCCGGCTGCGCACGCGCACCTCGCCGTGTGTGTGCGTGTGTGCGTACGTACGGGCGCGGCGGCGGGCAGCAGCAGCGGGTGCGCGGCGAGGCGGCCGGGCAGCGCGCGCAGGCGCAGCGGCACGCGGGTGGCGGCGTGCCGGCTGCGCACGCGCACCTCGCCGTGTGTGTGCGTGTGTTCGTACGTACGGGCGCGGCGGCGGGCAGCAGCAGCGGGTGCGCGGCGAGGCGGCCGGGCAGCGCGCGCAGGCGCAGCGGCACGCGGGTGGCGGCGTGCCGGCTGCGCACGCGCACCTCGCCGTGTGTGTGCGTGTGCGTACGTACGGGCGCGGCGGCGGGCAGCAGCAGCGGGTGCGCGGCGAGGCGGCCGGGCAGCGCGCGCAGGCGCAGCGGCACCCGGGTGGCGGCGTGCCGGCTGCGCACGCGCAGCTCACCGCGCACGTCGCCTCCACGCGCCGGCGCCACCACCGTCAGCCACGCCTCCGCCGTCTCGCCACCCTCCACGCACCTCTGCAACCATACCCGACTCGTCAGCGACACGCTACACGTCATAGACACATGTGTGGGATAAAACTCAGTTTTAATTTCCGACTTTAGAAGCACTTAACAGCACCTGTCTAATATGAATAGTTTCCTTGTCCGCGAAATAGACACAGGACAGGCAAAACAGTTAAAATTGTATTTTTCGCCCTCAATTAGTATATGCCACCAATATCATTTCAAATCGCTTGATGCAACCATATACGATATGTAAATCTTCAAGTTAAAAATATATTTTCTGTATAATAATAATAATAATAAAAATAAAAGAAAATAAAGGATGGCACCGTCGGCATCTGTCGAGCTTGTCGCCATCCCGGTGAGTCACTTAGGCATGTCATCTCCGGTTGTTCGGCGCTTTCTAACTCTGAGTACTTACACAGGCACAACCTAGTAGCCAGAATTCTACACCAGGAGCTCGCTCTGAAATACGGTCTCGTGAACCGGAAATTGCCGTATTACAAGTACTTGCCGGAAGCCGTGCTCAAAAATGTCCGCGCCAGGCTCTACTGGGACCGGGCCATCATCACAGACAGGACTATTCTTGCGAATAAGCCTGATATTGTGCTGATGGATCGGGCACAGTCAAGGATATTTTTGGTCGACATTACCATTCCGTATGACGAGAACCTCGTGAAAGCCGAAACAGATAAGCAAACAAATTATCTGGACCTGGCTCACGAGGTGACCGACATGTGGGGTGGTCTGCCGACCGAAATTATTCCTGTAGTCGTGTCTGCAAACGGGCTAATCCCAGTCAGCCTCTCAGGTCATCTGAAGCGGCTGGGACTACGTGGCGGACCGCTCCGGGCTCGAATACAGAAGGCGGTGCTCCTCGATACCGCCCGCATCGTCCGCCGGTTTCTTTCCCTTTCCCCCTAACCCTCGGCCGTTTGGTCTCCCCTGCCGAGGGCCTCCATCTGGTTGGGCTTTTATTTATATATGTATTTTTATATTTATTTTATGTTATTGATATTTATATATATTTATCTTTTCATTTTCATTTATAATTATATATTTATAGCACCCAACCAGATGAGAAAACTATGTTGATACCCCCCAATAATAATAATCTTTATTTGCAAGAATATGGTTGTACAATGGTGTTCGAGTATAATTTGTTCTACATATTCTACCTCAGTGGTGTGCAAATATTAATAGTCAAGTACCCGTAACTTATACAACAATACTTATCGATTTTTTAACAACACAAAAATTTTTTAACATCACTCAGTTGATTTGATGATTAATTAATTATGCAACAGTGTCAGAAAAATAAATTGCCAATAAGATTTATAAGTATTATATAGCTCAATGTCAAATATTAATGTTCTTATGTCACTAAATATAATGTCAATTATAAATGTTACATATCGAAGTCATTAATTTATTTCAATATTTATATCAAATTTATTAATTAAATAAATAAAAATTTTAATTTATAAGAATGACATAATTTAAACATTGTGTGAAATTCTAAAATGTATCGTCCACTTATCTGCAAAGAAGTCTTTAATTGAGTAAAAAGATTTCTGGATGAGCCATTTTTTAGGTGAGTTTTTATTCTCATTGTTGGTAACTCTCTAATCGCTTTAGGTATCTTATTAAAAACTTTTATACACATTACGTAACAATTTTTATGAAACAAAGCTATCCTGCAGGCAGGCATTAACAATCTAGTTGGGTCCCTTTTACCTATAATAGAATTGTCGCGAGCGCTATGAAATAAACACTGATTTTTTTTTTGACAAATATACACACCTCTAATATATACAGTCCAGTCAGCGTTAACAAATTGTTATTTTTAAATAAAGATCTACACGATTGATATTGAAACGATAGTATTCGTACACACTGTATATACTATTTATATTAAGATTCATTAACAAAACTCTTGCTTCATTAATTAGTGTAGTAAACAGTACCATCCAGTCGTCTTCTCTACTGAAATTAGAATATTTTTAATTAATCTAGTGTCACAGCTTGCTTTGTGTGTGTGTGCGTGCGTGTACACTCACGCAGGGGTGGTCGGGCGGCGGGTCACGGTGCTGCGCGCAGGCGTGCAGCGCCAGGTGCGCGGAGGCGGCGGGCAACAGCGCACGCAGCTCGCGCGCACAGAGACGCACGCTGCCTGCGTTGCGCAGCCGAAGCAGTACACGCCGCGACGCGGACGTGCCCAGCACGCCCAACGACACGCCTTCCTCCTCCGCACTACCCCACGGCCACTCCCACTCCTGTACGAGAAACAAACACTTTCAACATACACTGTAAATAATACTTATTGGTAGAATTTTTAGCTTTAACTTTTTTTATAGAAGAGGGGGCAAACGAGCATACGGCTCACCTGATGGTAAGTGACTACCGCCGCCCATGAACAACTGCAACACCAGGGGCCTTTCAGAAGCGTTACCGGTCTTTCAGAAAGTAGTAAGCTGATATTAAAGGTCCGTAAGTCGTATCAGTCCGGAAAAATCGCCGGTGGTAAACAATACCACAGTGAAGTTGTACGAGAAAGAAAACTCCTAGTGAACCGCCAAGCATCCAGATGGTGAGGATGGTATCGTGAATTTTGACGCAATGTGCGTTCGTGAAATTTGACGACTGGAACTAATCCGATCACTTCCTCAGAACACTCCCCGTGGTAGATGTGATAGAAAACTCAAAAGGATGAAACATCGCCGCATCGCAGCGCCAGTGAATAGAGCGGACCAGAAAGAACTCGGTCGTCGACGATTTGAACTGCTCTGCGCTGGATGCGGTAAAGTGGAAGGAGCTGGCACTGGGGTGCCCCGGCCCAGAGATGAGAACAGTATTCCATGTGAGGCCGAACTTGCGCTTTGTAAAGTTAAAGCGATGTGCCGGTATGAAATAGTCTCGCTCTGCTGAGCACTCCAAGCATTTTAGAGGCCAATTTGGCCTTCCGCTCCAAGTGACCACGAAACTGCACACTATTCGATATGTCGATGCCGAGGATTCCGATGCTAGCTGAGGCAGTAAGTGGAATGCATTATGAGCTGTAATCAGACGGGTCTGAGCGGTGGCCTTGTTCAGGGATCGGGTGGACCAAAGCTGTCTTCCATGAATTCGAGACTACGCCTTGGGAGTAGTAGTATCGGAAAAGACGCGTTAAAACCGGTGCCAACTCCGGAGCACACGTCTTCAGCACAATGGGAGCTCCATCAAGCCCACTCGACTTGCTGACGTCCAGGGAGAGGAGTGAACCGAGAGTTGTGTAAACCGCACATCCGGCATGGAACACTCACACCGCGGGATGGTCGGCGGTGTGTTCCCCCCGTCATCGAAATTCGAGTGGGACGCAAACAGAGAGCCTAACAGATCGGCTTTCTCCTTTGCGGCATAGACTAGTGAGTCCGTTCGTCTGTGCAGAAGTTCCCTTGGATAGTTCCCGAAGGAAGGCGAACTAGTTTCTCGCCAATTCTGCCGATGTGCTCAGACTTTGTCTTGGCAATGACTTTTTTGAAGGATCTGGAGGCGGAATTATACTTCTTTTTAAGAGCACTGGTGTTTACATCCCGAGACGTTGATGCGTCAGCCCAAGCTCCGTAGCACTTTTGCTTATACCGTGATGCTAATTTACAGGAGCGACAAAACCATGACTGGGATCTGCCTCCGACGGGAACCACAGAGGATTGAATAAAAAGTTACCCTGAAGTACCACCTCAGCGATAGAATCAGCAACAACGCTGGTATCGTCCAGCGAGAACCAAACCGTCAAAACCACCAAGAGTAAGATGCGAAAAAAGACCGCATGCTATCCCAATCGGCCAACCTATACCGAACCCGAACCCGTGCCGAACACGTCAGCAGCATGCAGAATGCAACTGCTTCGTTAATGTGACTGAAACTACACTCCGGACAAGACAATGGTCCGACGAGCCTAAAGGGGCGTCCAACCGGTCACCAATTCACTCATTCTTATCACTAACATTGCGTTTTCTTGACGCTAATTAGGAAGTCAAAGCACGAGTATTTTGTTGCTTACAAGAAAGTAAGTGACTCTCCGGAAAAATAACTTACTGGCCTCTTTCTTGATTTAATTGTACAAGTGTTTGACTTAGACATGAATGATTGTCGAGGTAAAGGGTACAATAATGGTGTGAACATGGCAGGAAAATTAAAATTCCCAACAACCCTCGATTGTATGCACTATACCCGTAGCCACTACACCACAACACTAGGGACGACACATCACTCTCGATAATACGATACGTGTTTCGCCTCTACACGAGGCATCCACAGGTGAAGTAGATTCTGCGGTAGCTGCAGGCTAAGTGAGCGGCGAGCTGAAACAGTTGCTATTGATACAACTCGCTGATCAACGAGTTGTATAAATAGCAGCGTGTGTAGAGCGGAGAGAGTACTAGGAGTGGTGGTGATGGGATTAGTGGCGACGAAGATAGTATCAGCCTCAGAGTCTACTTCATCTGAAGATTCTTCATGGCGAAACACGTGTCGTATTATCAAGGGTGGTGTCGTTTCTAGTGTGATGGCACTGGTAGCGGTGGCGCTGAGTGTGGTGGTGCTGGAAGTGGTGGTGAAGGGGATATTGCACGCAAGTGAGGGAGGTGAGAGGTGGGTGCTCTTCAGACTGAACAAGATACATCATAGTATTTTATTTCGCGGAAATGAGCAAATTAAGTTCTAACAACTTCAATATAGTATATTTTCGCAAAGTAACGCCTGATTCTTTTAATTATCAAAAAAGTTAAGTATTTGGGCGTAACAATCGACATCTAGGCTTTTTATTAGGTTTGTTGTTGGTAGTTCCTTTATCTTTTTTAACACTGTCTGCAGAACAACAGTTTAAATAAAAGTTGTCAAACCAGATTATTAGCTCTTATTATGAGAAATGATCTGTAGAACAAATCCCCGCAGCAATTAAAGAAAGGCTGTGTAATATTTTACATTTTATACTTAATTTAGGAGGCCTATGTTCAGCAGTGGACTGTTGTAATGATGATGGAAAGTGATTAATAAAAATTGTAATTTTTATTTCTATTTTAATGTGTGCTTTATTAAAACGCCGAGCAAACTTGAATTTAATTCTCTGGCACCCTTTTTATATTTTTGTTGACAATCTCCTTCTGATTTCTAATAATATCATAAATGGGCAAGTATCTCCAGATATTATATTGCAATGATGTTTGGGATTCATGTTTACTAATAAATCATTACTTTAATAAGCAAAGGGCCCGCACTGCACCAGTCAGCTGTGTTATTTTTAAGAAAGGAGATATAAAATGCTGACGATTTTTACTTACTACTAAATTCACTCGATTCACTCGATTGAAAGAAAACGGGGATCGAGTCGCATCACTATTGTAAGAATAAAGTCTGTGGTTATATACCTTTTGGTAGCAAAATTAAAAAGTTTATACTTGTTTGTTTACAAGACAGTAAATATCGTCTCTTCGATGCATAAGTGTTGAACAGAATGTGGATAATATCATGCAGGCTGGCCAAATATTGATATTCCACATCATGTGTTTCTCTTTTTATTTTTTGTGGTAAAGTTCGCCAATGACATTCTAAAATGAAAACTGATGAGTTTATAGAATAATTAATATTTATGTATGTAATACAAAAGTTTACTTTTCCACCAAAAATTCTGGAAAATCTATTAATAAGTATGTCGAATTACCTAAAACAATTGACAAATTCAATCAGAGACGCTTTTTACTGGAAACTTATTTCATATCTCTTATTATTAAAAATGTCTTTAATTCCTAACAAATCATAAATGTTTTGAAATGTAATTCAATATGTATAGACACATAAACATAGTCCCCTCGAGCTACTTAGATTGCAATAAATATAGAAAAATAATATAGTGGATCACATAGAAGAAATCCGTATGTCTTGCAGGCTGAAATCTTGCAGAGCTGCCCGTAGGCAGAGACAAAAAGTGTATGGATTGAAGACCAGTGTTATATCTCTTATCATTTAAAAATGCCCTTCTGATTTCTAACAATATCATAAATAGACATCAAGTTATTTTAAAAAAAATCTTTTGATATAAAAGCACAATAAATGTTTCTACCTGTCCGTTATAGACTTTGAAACCATCCAACCGATTTTGATAAATTTACATGATTTATATTCACATTTGGATTCGGTAGGTGGCGCTGTTGTCTAAATCCAGAAATCACCCGCGCGAAGATGGGGCGGATCGCTATTAATAAATACAACTAAATTATACCTGTTTTGTTATCCTTGCACAAACAGTTCAAATGATCTTACTTCCTCACTATTTATCAGTGTGTAATAACATAGATAAGTATGATATTACCTAGTCATTTTGGTATTTTAATAGTAAGTATTTAATAATCAAACAAAACGTATTAAAAAGTCTTGACACCGCGCCTGTCTGTACGTATTAATAGACTACGTTGGAAATGATGATTTACTATAATAAATACAGCTCCATTATAACTTGTTTCTTTACACAACCAGTTTAAAACATATTTCTTGCTATATAACGTGTGTGGGTATATCATAAATATAAATAGACATGTTATCCCTTAGTGATCTTGACTTTAATAATTTTACTTTAATGGTACTTGGAATGTACACTCACAATCAATCAATGCATGTAAAAAATAGTATCCCCTAACTACTGAAAAGATTTTCTATGGATTTTGAAGTACCTGTAAATGCTGAATGTACCTACGACTTCGTTTTATATGTATTATAATTATTCAACAGTGCACTATTTAAACTTATAATACCGGTAAAAACTATTTTTAGGTTATTGTAAGATTCATACTTTAATGGTTAATTTCTCAGTACTCCGTTTAGATGTAGATGATTATAAGGAATAAATCGACATGCGTCATTGAGTGTCGCGAAAATTTGTGGTGGGCCCATTCTCCATAAAAAAAAGAAATTGTCTCCTTTACTAATTTAGTGTGAGTTTAAATTACAGCATCGTATCATGCATATATGTTTATCATATTATTTTTACATATCACCATAATATTAAATAAATTACCTCATATTTATACTATCCTCTAAATAAGTATGTGTTAGTGACTCCATCTACAAATGCACTTTTATCTCTTTCTTAATAAAGTTCTTCTGTCTGTGACAAACATACAACCGCGATTTATTGAGATATTCGGGTGTGGTGTTGCATGCACGAGCACGGTGCAGTGCGACAGGTTGACGTACTACATGTGGTGTGCCTGCACCAGCGTCACGTTGTCGCGCAGCGCGCTCTGCTGCACTGGTACTGTGTAGTGTAGGAGAGAGGTTGAGGAGGGGTGGGGTGTACGCACCAGCGTGAAGCGACCGCTGTAGACAAACACGGGCACGGTATAGTGCGACAGGTTGGTGTGCAGCGTGACGTGCGCGTGCAGCGACACGTTGTCCCGCAGTGCACTTTGCTGCAGCTGCAGTCGCGCCACCACTGCACTCGCACCCGGTTCCAGCACCAGCGGCGTCAAATCCGTCACCTGCAAACCGGATTCCTACAGCGTTCTTACACAAAAACTCAATTGCTTACCCGGCACGCACAGATAAAAAATGGAATTATAAATGGCCTCTCGATGTGTTTACCTAACGTTCGCACCATAGATATATTAGTTGTTTATATGATCTGAGGTTCGCACACTGCCAATGTTTATACTCACACGCATCGGTAATAATCACAAAATAATAAGGTCATTATAATAAAAAATAAAAATATAAATTACCTCGCAAACTTACCGCTAGCAGTCAGCCGCCGTAGAGTCTACATTAACTGAGGATGCCTCGTGTAGAGGCGAAACACGTGTCGTATTATCGTCGATAGCGTGTCTTACCTGGAATAGTGGTGTTGGAAGTAGTGGTGCTGGGACTAGCGGTGACGGAGTTAGTGCATGCAATTGAGGGAGGGCGGGAGGTGCTCTTCAATCCAGGTAAGACACATCATTGTATTTATTTAGCGGAAGTTTGCGAAGTAATTTATATTTTTATTTTTTATTATAATGGATTTCCGCAAAGTAACGCCTGATTCTAACGCTAAGCGTTTTTCTGTTCTGAAATAAAAACATATTTTAGAATCGAGTTACAAAATATAAATGTTTAATATACTTATGTTAAATTAAATTAAGTATCAATTATTAAATTAAATATTATTTTTTATTGGCAGCGAACACTCGTGCGCACGCAGCATCACCGTGTGTGCGTGCGTGCGCGTGAGGAGAGTGCTGACGTGGAAGTGTGGCTGCAGGTGCGGCGGCACGCTCAGCGGCAGCGAGCACTCGTACGCTCGCAGCTCCAACGTGTGCGCATGTGTGTGTCAAGAGGGTACTAACGTGAAAGTGCAACTGCAGGTGCGGCGGCACGCTCAGCTGCACGCGCAGCGGAAGCGGGCACTCGTTGTGCGCGCGGAGCTCCACTGCGCCCTGCGCCCCCACCACTCCCTCCTCCTCCTCACCCGCCTCACCATCACCCTCACCCTCGCGCGCCGTTACGAAGCTGAACAGGTAAAGTGTTAGCTGTACTACCTTGCACTCAGAGCGAGTGCCTTACCACGACCATAAAATTATTAACACTTAAGAATAGTTACACATGCAAAAATTGTTCCTAAGCGGCATTATAACACACAAAACAAACCAGTAATTTTATATGTCGAAGTCGTAACAGAAACATGCTACACAATTAAGTCAAATTCATAATGTGTTATACTATCTTCCGCTACATCACAACTCACTATCAGGTGGGATAGTAGTCAAACAATCGTTTATAATAATAATAATAAAAATAACGTAAGTACATTTGTGCGTCATTTAAACTTTCACTCAAATAACTCTTGCAAACATAGCAGATTTACATCACAAACAACGTTACATTTATTTAACACGTAAGCAGCTCTTCGTCAAAATACGAATTCGTAATAACTTCGTTAATAATTAAAACATGTTAGGGGTAGTATCGACACGAAGGGGATGATAAACTGATAACGCTTGATAAGTTTGATAAAGTCTATTATGGATAAATTTATAAAATAAAAGGCTAGAACTACTGATAATGAATACGCGTAGCGCTCTTGATGGCTTTAGGTGAACTGATTTTAAAAAACATTTGCCGCGCAAATATGTACGAGGTCAAGTGAAACCATGACGACAATGGTACGTTGCATTACGTGCTCTTACAAAACAATAAACTAAGAATTTCACACACACACACACACACCACGCACACACACGCCCACACACGCAGCACGCACGCACGCACGCACGCACGCGCGCGCGCGCGCGCGCCCGCGCACGCACGCACGCACGCACGCACGCACGCACGCACGCACGCACGCACGCACGCACGCACGCACGCACGCACGCACGCACGCACGCACGCACGCACGCACGCACGCACGCACGCACGCACGCACGCACGCGCACGCACTGACGCACTGACGCACGCACTGACGCACGCACGCACGCACGCACGCACGCACGCACGCACGCACGCACGCACGCACGCACGCACGCACGCACGCACGCACGCACGCACGCACGCACGCACGCACGCACGCACGCACGCACGCACGCACGCACGCACGCACGCACGCACGCACGCACGCACGCACGCACGCACGCACGCACGCACGCACGCACGCACGCACGCACGCACGCACGCACGCACGCACGCACGCACGCACGCACGCACGCACGCACGCACGCACGCACGCACGCACGCACGCACAGCACGCACGCACGCACACACACACACACACACACACACACACACACACACACACACACACACACACACACACACACACACACATATGCCCCATTTACACTCAGCCTTGTGGGAGGTCAGGAAAGTAAGCAGGGTAATGCAGTATGTAAATAGGATACTCGCGTTGTCACTGCCCATGCCGCTGCCGCTGCCCGGGGCTCCCTCGATTGTCGGGTTTTCATGCGAAAGTCAAAGGACGGGCAGCGCGAGCGGAAGCGAGTGTTTACATTCTCACTCACTTGCCGGTGGCAAGTTCGCACAAGAAGGAACGTGCTACGTTTAAAAACGGCAATTGATTTATTAATCTGTCCTGTGTTATAATGCTACTTAGTAATGATAAAACAATTAAATTTTTAGAATTTTATGAAATTGAACTGAATTGGATCCTCTTTATAAAAACTATAAAGTACATTGAAATAATACTAGTTTTTACGGAATTTATCGCGTATATTTAACTTTTTAAATACCCGACGTTTCGAACGCTTTACAGCACTCATGGTCACGGGCGGGACTGAGATGTTCAACGTCCAGATGTCATAGTTAACCGCGGTTACCATAGATTAAAATTTAACTTTTGTTCCGATCTACCGATCCACAGTATGAACTTGAGGTCTTGCAGTTGTATGCTTGGGTTGGGATTTAATTTTATTTATTATAGGATCCCAAGCAGACGGTAGCACCCAGCCATCTTCTCTATTGAAATTAGGATGTTTTTTGATTTCAATAGCCTCCCGAATCATCCTTGGAAGGAATCGGTGTTCTTTAACGAGGGTTTGTGGTCTATCAAATCTGATGTAGTGACGGGGCGATCCTGTACGTGTTCACAGACTGCAGAGTTCCCGGAGCGTCGATTCTTCACATCAGCTATATGTTCTTTATAGTTACAAATTCCGTAAAAACTAGTATTATTTCAATGTGTAGTGTTCGCGTAAATATAAGAAATCATTATTTATTTATTTATTTAGGTTTACCAACTAAACACATACAAAACATTATTATTAAACATTTGCAGTTATAAACAAAATTATACTATATATTTATTTAACTTAAAGGTATGCACAACATTTCAACATGAAACTTAAAATTAGTTTTGAAATTAACAGATAATAAAATATGATATAAACACAAAGACTATTCTATGCAATACAGGTAAAATTATAATTTGGTAGAGAGCTTAACATTGTATAATTTAAAGTTTTAATTTTCAGTTTGAGTGTAGTATAGAAATATTTTCTTTTTTAAGGAACCCCGACTATCACTAAAGAGATCTATATTACATTTACCGAATATTATATTATGTACTTTCTCATCATTGAACATAGAGGAGAGTTGCTACCATAATTTTTGCTATTGAAATTTACACTAAAGGGATTAAAATTACACAACCTTGCTGTGGGCACCTTCAAGTTAATTTGTGATAGGAGGGATGGACAATCCACTTTATTATTAAGTAGTTTATGTAAAAGGCTTATAGATAGCAAATTCTTTCACTGCTCCAATGATAAAATAAAATGAAATTAAAAATAAAATGCGCTAGTCTTTCAGAGTATCTGCGAATTGTACGATGAACGCCACTTACATAAGATATTTTATTTAAAAATGTTTTTGGATTCTTTCTATACGCTGAATATTATTTTGATAAGACGGCTACCATACGACTGAACAATAATCAACATGACTGCGGACCTGCAAAACAGGGAACTTTTAACGCTAAAACCGACTTAAAACCTTTGGTGTTTCTGAAAATAAAAGCTAACATTCTTAACGATTTGTGTATGGTATTGTTAATGTAGTTAGTGAATCGCACCTGAGAGTCAATAGCAATGCCTAAGTCCTTCACTTCATCTACTTTCGCTAAATCTACACCATTCATATTGTAACTACTATTATATTTGTTAAATTTTCGACAGAATTTAATGTGATAGTAGCATTTATTTGTATTGAGAGACATTTTATTTTGCCGGCACCATACTGTAATCTATATATATATATATCCTCTTGAAGTTGAATTTGGTCTGTGTTATTTCACAATTTTGGATATCTTTAGGTCATCTGCGTATAATTCAAAATCGGAGTTACGGATACAATGCTTAATATCATCGATAATCATTATATAAATTGCACTTAGTAGCTACGTATACTGAGCAGATATAATGCTGTCACACCAACAAATTCGACCCAAAAGCACCCACTCGCGTCGTTATTGCCGCAGAAGTATAAAAGCCTCATTTACATTCAGCCTCTGCCACTGCTCCTCGCGCTGCCGGACATACTTCGCTAACTGCCGTAGCAGGATCGAGAGAGGTGTGTATTTACATTCTGCCCTACCACTCACATCACTTTCGACTATGGCAGACGTCGAAATAATTACAGCGTCAGCGCTGTGCCTTTTTGTAATAATGTTAATAATTTAAAAAGATATCAAATTCAAAAGAAAATAATTGGTCATCGTAAAAGATGGTGGATTATGGTTTTTATCGTTGAAATCTCATATAGCTTTTCTGAATCTAGCAATTCTAAAAACTTGATTGTATTTTCGTTACTCTACTCGAAAGGCATTTTGGCAGATCGTACTTATTTAAAAACAAGACGGCACGCACATCTTTTCATCCAGGCGCTTGGCGCGAAGTGAGCGATGGAGCTGAATGTGAACACTCACTGCCGCTCGCGCTATCCCGTCCTTTGACTTCCGCACGAAAAACCGACAATCGAGGGGGGGTCGGGCAGCGGCAGCGGCATGGTCAGTGACAGCGCGAGTAGCCAGTTTACATACTGCCCTGTGCACTGCCCTGCTCACTGCCCTGCCCAACAAGGCTGAGTGTAAATGGGGCATTAGAGAAATATTTCCGGCAGCGACAGGAGCAGTAGCAGTGGCTGAGTGTAAATAGGACAATCGACAGCGACATCTCGAATACAGACACGGATCAGTCATTCGTTTGTTCTGTATAGTGTGTGAGGGCGGGCGGCGTGTGTTAGTAAGCAAATCCGAAGCAACACGACCGTTATTATTGTAATTTTTTAAGTTGCAATCAATTAATTAGAAATAATATGATTAAAAATTACTTGTATCTGAAACGTAAGGCCATCTTTTTGTAAATTTGAAGTGGCAAATCTCTTTTTGTAGGAAAAAACTGAACAATTCGGCATTTTTGTAGGACATCGATTAAGTCGCGCAACTATATTACTCCAGTGAGAATTGCGGCTGCAACTAGTTTGGTTATACGCATTGGACTGTACGGACTTACTACTACTACTATATACTTTATACAGTGTGGGACACCTGCGTTCGATCACTCCAGTTCGATCGACCGGTGACCCGTGTTGCACGATGAACTGTGCTATAACAAGTGTTTTGTGTCTTTAATATGTAGTAAGAAAAGGATACGTGTTACTCTTGCTATGACTTTAATAATACTACTCTTATTTATTATACTAACTTGTTATACATTGACTCGAATATATACTGGCGTGGAGGCTACACTGCAGAGCAGTATAACCATAATATGTAGTTATAGTATTTACGTATACTTTCAAAAATCAATGTACTAGTAATAGAGAAGTTGCATTTTTTTGTCACAAATCTATATACAGGGTTATTTTGTACATGCCAGCCATATTTAAAGAAAAAGTGCAAAATAAGTTATATAGGTAAATGGTAAAGAAAAATTAATTAAAATAAAATCTTAAACTTTCTGTCATTTTTATCTTTTAAATTCGAAATGCGTGGTAACCCATTACTTTAACAGATTTTGCCTTACACGCATTCATAAACCCCTACGCTCAGTAAAGTACTTTGTTACTCGTCTTCCCCGCACCCTTCTGCCATTACACCGTAAGTACCGATGTCTGCTCAACCGACCGACAGCTGACAGTGTTGACCGTGACCTCATTACGTACGCTTCATTGTCAATGACGTAACATCATCATCATCATCATGAATACAGCCCTTCACAAATCCACTGCTCAACATAGGCCTGCCCCAAGTAATGCCACAAAGCACGGTCTTGAGCCACTCGCATCCATTGACTTCCTGCATGTCTTACCAGGTCGTCACTCCATCTAGTGAGAGAACATGATGACTCGAGAACATTTTTTCCCCATCGGTTATCGGTTATTCGAGCTATATGGCCGGCCCATTACCACTTCAGCTTACTAATCCGTTGAGTTATGTCGGTCACTCTGGTTCTACTGCGGATATCCTCATTTCTGAGTTTATCACACAGAGAAACCCCGAGCATAGCCCTCTCCATAGCTCGCTGAGCGACCTTGAGCGTCCTTATACGTCCAGCAGTGAAGGACCACGTCTCAGATCCGTAATTCATTATTGGCAACACGCACTGATTGTACAATCTAGTTTTCAGAGTTTGAGGTATACCTGACGAGAAGATGTGTCGTAACTTCTCGAACGCTGCGCAGCCGAGTTGAATCCGTCGATTGACCTCTCGATCGAAGTTGGACTTACCTAGTCGGACTATTTGTCCCAGGTAAACGTACTCGTCAACAAATTCGAGCATAATGCTCCCAACAACTACCGGCATAGTGGTGACATGGACATTAAACATGATCTTTGTTTTGTCCATGTTCATCTTAAGACCTATCTGTTGGCAGACACCAATGAGGTCATTGAGCATAGTGCTAAGGTCATACGGCGATTCTGCCATAAAGACTATATCGTCGGCAAATCGAAGGTGAGTGATGTACTCGTCATTGATGTTAAAATCCTGTCCTTTCCAGTCCAGTAGCTCGAAAACGTCTTCCAACGGCAGCGGTGAAAAGTTTCACGGATATTAGGTCACACCTCTCTGCAGTTAGATAGGTTTCGAACTCTGGTTCTGTTCTCGGATAGCCATTGTAGCCCTACTGTACAAACACTTCAGCACTTCGATATACCGACAGTCAACTTGGCACCGCTGAAGGGACTGTAGTACCGCCCAAATTTCGACGGAATCAAAGACTTTCTCATAATCTACATACGCTAGGGCTAGGCAAAGTGGCAGATTGTGTTGAGGCGCAGCGTGCCAGGCAGCAGGTGCAGCGAGTAGGGCAGCGCGGCGCGGCCCAGCCGCTCGCAGTGTTGTGTGTTGCGTGTTGTGTGCGGGCTGGCAGGGTGTCAGGCCGGCAGGGTATGGGTTGCACCCACTGCAGCTGCGCGGGGCTGAGGCGCAGCGTGCCAGGCAGCAGGTGCAGCGAGTAGGGCAGCGCGGCGCGGCCCAGCCGCTCGCAGTGTTGTGTGTTGCGTGTTGTGTGCGGGCTGGCAGGGTGTCAGGCCGGCAGGGTATGGGTTGCACTCACTGCAGCTGCGCGGGGCTGAGGCGCAGCGTGCCAGGCAGCAGGTGCAGCGAGTAGGGCAGCGCAGCGCGGCCCAGCCGCTCGCAGTGTTGTGTGTTGCGTGTTGTGTGCGGGCTGGCAGGGTGTCAGGCCGGCAGGGTATGGGTTGCACTCACTGCAGTTGCGCGGGGCTGAGGCGCAGCGTGCCAGGCAGCAGGTGCAGCGAGTAGGGCAGCGCAGCGCGGCCCAGCCGCTCGCAGTGTTGTGTGTTGCGTGTTGTGTGCGGGCTGGCAGGGTGTCAGGCCGGCAGGGTATGGGTTGCACTCACTGCAGCTGCGCGGGGCTGAGGCGCAGCGTGCCAGGCAGCAGGTGCAGCGAGTAGGGCAGCGCGGCGCGGCCCAGCCGCTCGCAGTGTTGTGTGTTGCGTGTTGTGTGCGGGCTGGCAGGGTGTCAGGCCGGCAGGGTATGGGTTGCACTCACTGCAGCTGCGCGGGGCTGAGGCGCAGCGTGCCAGGCAGCAGGTGCAGCGAGTAGGGCAGCGCAGCGCGGCCCAGCCGCTCGCAGTGTTGTGTGTTGCGTGTTGTGTGCGGGCTGGCAGGGTGTCAGGCCGGCAGTGTATGGGTTGCACTCACTGCAGCTGCGCGGGGTGGGGCTGAGGCGCAGCGTGCCAGGCAGCAGGTGCAGCGAGTAGGGCAGGCGCGGCGCGGCCCAGCCGCTAGCAGTGTTGTGTGTTGCGTGTTGTGTGCGGGCTGGCAGGGTGTCATGCCGGCAGTGTATGGGTTGCACTCACGCAGCTGCGCGGGGCTGAGGCGCAGCGTGCCAGGCAGCAGGTGCAGCGAGTAGGGCCAGCGCGGCGCGGCCCAGCCGCTAGCAGTGTTGTGTGTTGCGTGTTGTGTGCGGGCTGGCAGGGTGTCAGGCCGGCAGGGTATGGGTTGCACTCACTGCAGCTGCGCGGGGTTGAGGCGCAGCGTGCCAGGCAGCAGGTGCAGCGAGTAGGGCAGCGCGGCGCGGCCCAGCCGCTAGCAGTGTTGTGTGTTGCGTGTTGTGTGCGGGCTGGCAGGGTGTCAGGCCGGCAGGGTATGGGTTGCACTCACTGCAGCTGCGCGGGGGCTGAGGCGCAGCGTGCCAGGCAGCAGGTGCAGCGAGTAGGGCAGCGCGCGCGCGCCCAGCCGCTGCAGTGTTGTGTGTTGCGTGTTGTGTGCGGGCTGGCAGGGTGTCAGGCCGGCAGGGTATGGGTTGCACTCACTGCAGCTGCGCGGGGCTGAGGCGCAGCGTGCCAGGCAGCAGGTGCAGCGAGTAGGGCAGCGCAGCGCGGCCCAGCCGCTCGCAGTGTTGTGTGTTGCGTGTTGTGTGCGGGCTGGCAGGGTGTCAGGCCGGCAGGGTATGGGATGCACTCACTGCAGCTGCGCGGGGCTGAGGCGCAGCGTGCCAGGCAGCAGGTGCAGCGAGTAGGGCAGCGCGGCGCGGCCCAGCCGCTCGCAGTGTTGTGTGTTGCGTGTTGTGTGCGGGCTGGCAGGGTGTCAGGCCGGCAGGGTATGGGTTGCACTCACTGCAGCTGCGCGGGGCTGAGGCGCAGCGTGCCAGGCAGCAGGTGCAGCGAGTAGGGCAGCGCGGCGCGGCCCAGCCGCACGCAGCCCTCGCACCGCACCTCCCGCATCGCAACCGCCTCCCCAGCCTCCCCGCCCCATGCGCTAGCCCACATCTCGCCGTCTGCCGGCAACATCGCATTCTTTAACAGTTTTTATAGAATAAGGGTAACAAAAGAGCATACAGTCGACGATGGTAAGCGGAAACTATGGCCCATAGACATCTACATTTATCTTCGATTGTGAATTAAAATGTACTGTCAATCCTGAGGACGGTTCTCTACACTCACCATACAAGACACAGCAACATTAAGAGGGTTCTTATTTTTCAACGATACGTTAATTTTAGAATTATGCGCACCGAGCGATTGACGACCTACGCGACCGATATTTTCTTTCAAATTTGATCATTCGCTCGCACATATCCCTCATCTCATACCTATCACACATACATATCATTGCGAGTATGGCGACTAAACGATCTTGATCCACCTTAATACAAATTTTTTTAAAAATAGAATTTGATGGATGAAAAAACTTTTGACGTGATATTTTAATCATCATCTTCATCATCATTACAGCCCTTCACAAGTCCACTGCTGAACATAGGCCTCCCCCAAGTAATGCCACAAAGCACGGTCCTGAGCCACCTGCATCCATCGACTTCCTGCATGTCTTACAAGGTCGTCACACCATCTAGTGAGGGGTCGCCCTACACTACGCCTACCGGTACGAGGGTGCCACTCGATAACCTTTCTTCCCCATCGGTTATCGGTTCTTCGAGCTATATGGCCGGCCCATTGCCACTTCAGGTTACTAATCCGTTGGGCTATGTCGGTCACTCTGGCTCTACTGCGGATATCCTCATTTCTGAGTCTATCACGCAGAGAAACTCTGAGCATAGCCCTCTCCATACCTCGCTGAGCGACCTTGAGCGTCCTCATACGGCCAGCAGTGAAGGACCACGTCTCTGATCCGTAAGTCATCACTGGCAACACGCACTGGTTGTACACTTTAGTTTTCAGAGATTGAGGTATACCTGACGAGAAGATGTGTCGTAATTTCCCGAACGCTGCCCAGCCGAGTTGAATCCGTCGGTTGACCTCTAGTTCTAGTCTAGTCTAGAAGTTGGACTTACCTAGTCGGACTATTTGTCCCAGGTAAACGTACTCGTCAACAACTTCGAGCATAGTGCTCCCAACAACTACCGGCATAGGCGTGACATGGACATTAAACATGATCTTTGTTTTGTCCATGTTCATTTTAAGACCTATCCGTTGGGAGACACCTTTGAGGTCATTGAGCATAGTGCTAAGGTCCTCCAGGGATTCTGCCATAAGGACTATATCATCGGCAAATCGAAGGTGAGTGATGTACTCGCCATTGATATTAATACCGTATCCTTTCCAGTCCAGTAGCTTGAAAACATCTTCCAACGCAGCGGTGAAGAGTTTCGAGGATATAACGTCACCCTGTCTTACACCTCTCTGCAGTTGGATAGGATTCGAACTCTGGTTCTGTACTCGGATAGCCATCGTAGCCCTACTGTACAAACACTTCAGCACTTCGATATACCGACAGTCAACTTGACACCGCTGAAGGGACTGTAGCACCGTCCAAATTTCGACGGAATCAAAGGCTTTCTCATAGTCCACATACGCCAGGCAAAGCGGCAGATTGTACTCTTCGGTCTTCTGTACAATCTGCCGCAGGGTATGTATGTGGTCTATGGTACTGAAGCCTTTTCGGAAACCGGCTTGTTCGGGAGGCTGGAAGTTGTCGAGTCTGCGTGCGAGACGATTCGTCATGACTCTCGAAAACAGCACGTAGACGCGGCTCAGAAGGGAAATCGGTCTGTAGTTCTTCAAGAGAGCGTTGTCGCCTTTCTTAAAGAACAAGACCACCGCACTTCTGCTCCACGCCTCCGGAGTAGTGCCACCATGGAGGACGGAATTGAAGAGCTTCTGAAGGACTTCAAGTACCGGTGTTCCACCCGCTTTCAGAAGCTCCGCTGTAATTCCATCCTCGCCTGGGGCCCTGCCATTTTTAAGGTGCTGGAGAGCCATTCTAATCTCGCTCAGACTGACGTCCGGGATATCATCGGAATAGTGTCGGGTAAGATTTGCTCTAGGATCGTTACTCACACTTGCGTGGCTCCAACGATGATGTGTACAGCTGCCCATAGAACCTCTCAATCTCACTCAAAATCTCAGGTGTCTCGGAAACGATGCTGCCACACTCAGTCTTCAGCTTTGACAGTTGGCTCTTACTGGCAGACAGATCTCTGGCAAAGACTTTGGAGCCCTGGTTCCGCTCGATCGCTTCTTTAATACGACCAGTATTAAAGTTGCGTAAGTCTCGCCGCATGCATTTGGAGATCTGTCTGTTCAGTTGCCTGTATGCTGTCAAATCTGTTGACGATTGCAGCTTCATCTCCCGTCTAACAGCCATGAGATTAAGAGTGTGATCGGAGAGTTTTTGTGTTCTGCGGCGGGTCTTGCAGAACTTAGCTCCGACCGCATGGACAGTTTCCACGAGCTTGTCATTCATATCGTCCACTGCATTGCAATCTTCCAGGCACTGAAAGCGGTTACGTAACTCGAGCTGAAGTCTCGGGACTCTGGATCAGGGCACGAGGGGGACGGAGCGTTGACTTAGACGAGACCTAATATAGATATTTTAATGTTTATTATAATTTGTTTTGATATATTTTTCATTATTTAAGAATGTTAAAGAGTTGAAATTAGTATACATATTTTTTTACTAGTATACACATTTTGTAAACTGCCTCCACGATACAGGAGAAAATCCTAGTGTGGGGGGAACGACTAAAAAAAATACTGATAAATTACACTTGAGCGTAGGCACACGCCTGGTTTATTTTCATGTTGAAAGTACTTCAGCATTATTTTATTTGGACACCACCATCCAAGACGCTTTGGATAAAAAATTATAAAAATAATATTTGTTGGTACTTATTACTTTACAAGAAGCGCCTTGGACGATAGTGTCCAAATAAAATAATGATGAAGTAGTTTTCAACACGGAAAAAAATAGGTACATACCTCAGTAGGTATATAGATAATTTTCATTGAAAAGTGTATGTCGACTCGTAAGCACCTATAGGCATAGGTACGGGTCGTATCATGTTGTACCTCTCTATAATATAATATAGGTAGCAACTATTTTATATTTATAAAACACCGGTTATATGAATCAATTACAATATATTTGTATACTGCGTACACTTATGAAAGTGCGATTTGCAGCTTGTCGCTAGGTTTGGGTAAAAAATATTGATATATCGATATTATCCTAAATAACGATATATATACCGTCGATATTTTTAAATCATTCTTCATTTTACAACATTCATGTACTGTAGTCGTTTCTTTTTTCGTCATCCAACCGTCCAGTAATACCATTTTGAGCCTTATCCTTCTACATCTTGCAAAACATGACGGATATGTCGATATTTATCATACGAATATATCGATACTGATTAAAAATATCGATACGATAAGATCTTTGACAACGTCTTTCTTTACGAGGGTTGTGTTCGCAATTTAGGTCTCCTCATGGATGAGAATTTAAAATTTGAGCAACATGTTCAGACTAAAATCGGCAAATGCTATGGTTCGTTAAAAACTTTGTATAAAATTCGCTCATTTCCAAAACGTGATATAAGACTGCTGCTTTATAACAGTTTAGTATTATGCCACCTTTATTATTGTGATATTGTTTATGGTCCATGCTTATTTAAAAAAAAAATTGAGAATAATGTACAGAGAGTGCAGAAGGCATGTATGAGTTTTTGTTTTAATATACCAAAAAGGGATAGGATTTCACCTTATTTAGTCAATAATGGCATTTCAAATATGTGCAATAGTACTAAGTTAAAATATTCCTGCTTTCTGCACACTCTGCATCACGCAAAGTCTCCAAAATATCTGTATGATAAGATAGCTGTTGAAAAAGTTTGCTTTCAATCAGAGAAAATACTCATCGGCTTCCACTACCCAGGATTAGACTAGCTGGAGCCTATATAAATTTGCCGCTGCTTAAATTTGGAACGATTTGCCACCACCAGTCCAGTCTATCCTATTTCCGTCTACCTTCAGACAAAGATGCCGCAAGTGGCTTATTCAAAAACAGTCCCTGGCTCTATGTGGCTTTGATACCCACTCAAATTAGACAACTTTTCTTGTATTTAGCAACTATAATTTATTGTTTTATTTTTATTTTTACTTATTTATTGTTGATACGTGTGTTTCATAAATTGTCTTAGACCCTGTATGAATTATGCGCAAAGGCTGTGGCAGAATAGCAGGAGTAATGGGTTTCCCGTTACAACTGAGTCACAGACCATTTTGTCACAACTAATTATTAAGCTGTCTATTTAAATTTTAACATTGTATTTTTGTGTGGCAAATAAAAACTTTTTATTTATTTATTTATTCATATATCGATGTATTATTTCACTTGCCCATCCCTACTCGTCGCTATTGCTAGCAGCGCGAGAGGCCCCGCGCGCCGATCGCCCGTCCGCGTCTGCTTTACCCCTTAAAATCTACGTAACCATGATATTATTTCGCCTTAATTCATTAAAAAATAATAGTAGGGATTTAAAAAGTCAGAATAATTGTATAAATGTTGAAGATTATTTTGGTATAAATATCATGTCAAAATAATGTACAACTTTGGAGATATTGGAACTTGTTTTGAAGTCTTTTCAGTCGATAATTTAATTCAGTCAAGTCCAGCTTTGATTTTTGATGGTCAATATTCAATAGAATCTACAAATTAGAGCTCCCAAATGAGGTCTCCGTGAGTTTTTGCCCAAACATGCATCAGGAGAATTATTATTAATAAATAAATAAATAATTTAAAATTCGCTTTATTATTTTTGTAGTAGAGAAAACGAACTCTTTTTAACAAGTAATTGTTATTTTAAAAACATACATTTCAGCAATTTGCAATTTCGCATATTTGGTAAGGGCCCTCTTCAGCTGCTATTTGACGCTAGTTTTTTGCGAGAGCGTAGTCCTTCCCCGGTCTAACCGACCTATTCGTGCTACAGCCATAATTAAGCTGCAACGAGCATGCGGCTCACCTGATGGTAAG